CACTCACCCACCCACCCACTCACTCACCCACTCACTCACTCACCCACCCATCATGTCCTGCTGTGTGGCCTGGTTTCTAAAGGGTCCTTGCCCTGGGGGGACCACAGCAAAAATTTTCACTGGATCTCTTTGATTCTTGGAAGCACCAGTGTAATAGTTTCTTTCATTTGTATTTATTGAATGAACCAGTTAGGGGGAAAATTACTCAAATTAATAATTATTGGATGATGATGACATAATAATATTTGTGTAACTGTTTAGGTAAAAAAATTACAAAACTTTAATAAAAGACAGAAAGGCACCTGCAATAAATCCAAATCAATCTTGCTCATGTGGTGTGGGAGGCTCAAAATAATTTCTTCAGATGGGTCAATTAATTTTATTCTATTTTAATGCAATTCTGAAATGGCCATTTTAATAAAAAGAATATTTATAATTAATTGTATTATGCATAAGGATACTATGCAATTTTATATCTTGATCTTATAGAAAATAAGCTTTCTTACTGGGTGTGGTAGTGCACACCCATAGTCACAGCTGCTCTGGAGGCTGATGCAGGAATATCTCTTGAGCCTGGAGATCAAGGCTGCAGTGATCTACGATGGTGCCACTGTACACCACCTTTGGACAATGAAGCCCTGTCTCTTAAAGAAAAAAAAAAAAATGATAAAAAGAGGGAGCCTTCTTTTTAATATCCTTTAGGCTCCAATCATTAATCCACAGAGTGTTTATTTTTGTTTGCTTCCATTTAGATAACCCCTAACCATCAAAGCATAGTTTGGCTTTAACATCTGTCTGGCTTTTGCGTCCTGCTCATTCCATCACTGTGTCTGCACTGCCAGGGTGTAACAGAGGCAATGACAGGAGTGTTTCTTGGTTTTTGTTCTTCATTCTGGACTTAAAAAAAAAAAAGTTTCTGGGCAGCACCTGTGGCTCTAAGGAGTAAGGCGCTGGCCCCATATGCTGGAGGTGGCGGGTTCAAACCCAGCCCAGGCTGAAAAACTGCAAAAAAATAAAAAGTTTCTGAGATTTTTATCATTTAAAAAGGATGTTTCTATAGG